TTACATTTGTACTATGATTTTTAACAAACGTAGTAGTGGGGAACATGTAGAAGATGAAGAAGAACTTTTATTTGTACCAAATCCTTAAGAATTGCCGATGACAAAGAATCTTTATATATACAAAAAAGCCAAAAAAACATGACAATACGTATACATGACAAGAAGTCGAGATGGCATGTGCATTCACGCGAAATAATATTTTATTAAAAATGGGAAAGTAGCTCACAGATTTTGAGATAGACGTATAAAATTTACCAAACCAAAAAAGCTTCAGTTAACAATATATAGAAGAAGTGCTGTTTCACAAGAACATATTAAATTATTTCTCAGGTCATACACTCCATTCATGAATTTATTCTAGCAATCTTACATATTTATCAAAACCATTCATTTTAAATAAACTTACTTAAAAATTTTCTAGAATGTCATTAGTTAAACTTTTTATATCTTTATTATTATCATTTTCGTTGTCTTTGCTTTTGTCATGTGACCAAAGAATTATTGTATTTGTAAGTACATCAACGAGATACAGGTACCGAAATAAACTGTTTCTTCTTCTTTATTAATTAAAAACGCACTGTCGTCAATAATTGAAATTTCGCACTCAGCTGGAAGACAGTGTGTTACGCTTAACGTTTCAACGAATAAAAATTAGTCTAATAGTGAAACAGTATTTGTGAAGATAGCAGAAATACTTACTTGTAACACATGATTTTGTTGGAGGGTTATAACTATACCCAGCCACACACTCACATACCACATTGTTTCTACAGTCCGCATTCGGTGCCGTACAGTCGTCATCAATTGAACATGCATAATTGACATCACCTGGACCAGGGGCTGATGATTCCGTAGTTGTGGGTGCCGGAGTGGTAGTTGTGGTAGTGGGTGCCGGTGTGGTAGTTGTAGTAGTGGGTGCCGGAGTGGTAGTTGTGGTAGTAGGTGCCGGAGTGGTAGTTGTGGTTGTGGGTGCCGGCGTGGTAGTTGTGGTAGTGGGTGCCGGAGTGGTAGTTGTGGTAGTAGTGGGTGCCGGTGTGGTAGTTGTAGTAGTGGGTGCCGGCGTGGTAGTTGTGGTAGTGGGTGCCGGTGTGGTAGTTGTAGTTGTAGTAGTGGGTGCCGGTGTGGAAGTTGTAGTTGTGGGTGCTGGAGTAGTAGTGGTAGTAGTAGTAGTAGTTGTCGCTGCTGTTGTTGTTGTTGTTGATATAGTAACTGTTGTTGTTCCGATATCTTTTGATTAAATAATGAAATGATATCAAATCTTTGAAAAATGTATAAAAAAAGTGTCAGATAAGCATTTACAATAGAGAACAAGTCTATATTTAAATTAATCATTTGGTACCTATTTCTTTGTGTGTTTTTTTACATCCCTTAACTAGGAACTTACTATTGCTGTATGGATAATTAACAAATATGTGTTAAACGGTTATGTTCATTGAACATACCCAGTTTGTCCGGGTCTTGTTGCCGATGATATGATTTTGTAAGCATTACACCTTTTGTATCTGATAGTTCAGGTTATAGTTTTGTTTTAGAAAACAAACATACTAACATGCAAAGCAGCTATAGTTTACTAAAAGAATGTAAAAAGGCAAGCTACGAGCACAAAAAAGCTTTGTTAATGTTTGAAATAATTAGGCAACGTTGGTCCACATATAACAAACTTCCACTTTTTTTAATAAAGTTAACAGCACAAAGTAAAGAATTAACATAATACGGGTACATCTTAAGGTATCTGCTGGTCAAACTTTTTTTTATCTTTTGCTTTATATTTATGAATGTTCTTGGCGGGAATTTATTCATACTTCGAAAGACTGACAACTCGATGCATGGAAAGTCATACAGACTGACGGAAAGACAGGTAAGTCCCAAAACAAGATTTTTTTTAGGACTGGAAGTGTATTTTGTTTAACTATTATACTTACAACATTTAGGTGAGCATCTTCCCAACAAGAGGCAGTCGGGTAACGTTCTATATACGTCTGCTATCTGAAACAGAAAGTCTTATTGTGTAAGAATATGCTCATTGAATAATTCATAACGCCACTGGATCAGTCATATGGTTAACGATATGAAGCTGTGTATCAAATAAAATTAAGTCAATTTATCAATGTATAATGATAAAATGTCTTCCATCGATATTGCTTTTTCCCGGCCGAAGGCCGATCTAAAATCAGTTTGACTTCCTGTAAAAGTTATAGAGAAGAACTGGAAATAAGAAGAGTTTTCATTGGTCAATTTAAAATTACAAAATGAAATCTGGGAATCCCATTAGCCATTCTGAAATAAAAGGATAGTTCTTGTCATTTTATGATACATTTTTAGTGAACAGTTTATTTTACGTTATAACTTTCTGAGTTAATTTTATACTAAATCTGAGTTTTTTTGAAAAAAAATTGTCCAAAATAACGAGATTAATATTAGAACTTATCAGGAACCCTTAGTTTATGATGTTCAATAAGTGTTTAATATATTATATGATTATTGATGTGTTCAATTGATATAATGTTTATATTTTTCATACACTTTTGCATATTAATCGAGTATTTATAAGAAATAATTGCCTACCGGCTGCGTAGATGTTTGTGAAACAGTTCACTTTCAAAAATACGGAAGGTTCGTTTAGAAACACATACATCATTCTATTTTTCAAGATTAATAACCCTGCAAGAAATAACTGTCATTGTTATTCATGCTATGCTAGCATTTCTATATGGCTTTGCACGGAAAACTAAGATCTAACATTTGCAACTTAACCAGTTTTACATCGGTCGAGTATCTTTTTTCAAAAGATACTTTTTATTTGTCCTACGTATAATGCACATGCGCGAAATCGCGAAAAGCTACTTCCGTTTCCATGGAAATATCGTATTAAAATAGGTTTCTACCGCAATTAAATACATGAAGGAAACACGCAGGTATATGGTAGCGCTGTATAAGAAATGTTCAACTTGAAATAAACAAAATGATTTATTTAAAAATGAAATAAAAAACAAAGCGTATTTCTTTACAAAAATGTAACAAGTTCCTGGAAACGTATTTTAAGTATGATATAGAATTATTCACATTTAGAAAGTTTTAGTATCATATCGTGTACATATGTAATATCATTGTAACGCTAACAATTACTAAAATGGCATTACATTAACCATCACATAGCCACTTATAAATGACACATCAGTTAATAATTCTGCTTAGAAATGGACATACATGTATGCGTCTTTGCGTCACATGCATTCATAGATTATTCATAAGGTATTCTGTAGTAAAATGGATTGCTTAATTGGCTTGAAATTTCTGTTTCCTGCTTTAATCTTAAAGTAGAATGGCTCTAGATTCATGCTTATTTTCATGAAAAGTGTAATTAAAAGTAAACTTTGTGCAGTGAACAAAGAAAATAATTAACACATTGCAAATATCACTTGCAAGCCAGGTAAATTACCAAAAGGATGTCAAAATAAGCAAAAATAGCCCCTACTGTAGTAGTCACGCAGTAGAAATATTGTGGTATATACTGCAAAAGCATTCCTTAATCGCACATAGCATGTCAATTATTACTTGAATCTTGAATCAATTAACTTTTCTTCAAATGTTAGAACATTGGTCTCAAATTTACGTTTCTGGAAATATTTTGGCTCACCTGGAGACATGCAGCGATTTGATTGGTGTAACCATTTGCGGTAATACTATCTGGACCCGGGTTTACAGAATTAAGGACCAGGGCCAAGATCATGATCAAAATTTATATTTCAAAACTTTGTTAATCATTTATAGTAATAGATTATATTTTCAATATTACTAAAATGGCACACGTTCATGAATTTCTTTATAATCACAATGATGACTATTTCTATAGAATAGTCTCTGTTATTTGGGGAACAACTTATACCCTGCCCTGGTTATGACGTAGGTACTGTATCTACGTCATATCCTTTTAACGCTGGCGTCGAATATTGTAACAAGGAAGAAATGAATTGTTGAAAAAAATGAAAAAAATCGCTGATCAAAACAACAATCGATAGTAGTATCTTTTAAATATGAATCGATAAGACGTCAGTGATTTTCTGTGTGTCCTATAAGCAGCAATTTTGTTGATATTTTCCACGATTGAAGCGGATTTGTTCTTGATGTCTTTGGTGGGAACATGCCTTTTACATGGAACACTGAATCAAGCAGGATATTATATGGACAGAGAAGTTTTCTTAGTCAATTCAGATTTAGATCTTCAAAAGATTGTTGTCGAGAACAGTTTAATTTTAAATTATTTATATGCATTGTTTTGTGAAATGAACATAAGGTTGTACTTTGTCTAGCTTTACTGTACAGTATCGTAAATTGACAATTTTATTATGACGATCCGTGGATCTACTATCACCCGCGGCTATTCATTTAGCTGTCTGTATCTCGCTATAATGATAAATCATTCGCTGTGTGGTAACGATGATGATTGTAATGAAAACCTTTAAAAAAAATGATGGAGGGTTCATCTAGCTAGGTGCACTTTGCTATTTTCAATGGCGTTAAGAATGGTGGAAGCAAGAAATTTTTGTTAACTTGTGCCAATTGTCCTGAATTAGGAATAGATGTGTCTATTAATCTAACAGGTTCATAATAAATCAGTTATTATTAGCTGATCAGTTTTAAAATATATTTTATTTGCTTTTAAATCTTCAAAATAGATCTATAATTTTCTTTTTGCTGGACGAGATTGGAAGAATGTGATTAAAGACAATACACTACTGGTCTGTATGGGAAATGTGGAAATAAATGCGATGGTGATCAGCAGCGTCTTGTGAGGACTCCTGACATTTGATGAATTGTTGTATGAGATAAATGGGTGACTGATGTTAGTAGAGCTAGTAGTTTAGTTCCTTACAGTATTAGGTGAGGTATTTCCTGTTTAAATGTTTATTTTATACATTATTTTACAATGTGGAACCTAGGTTTAGATCTACATGTTGAACAAAATAATTATTCAGTTATATTTCAGTATTTGTTATTACAGTACTACAGTATATAAACGATTTGAACCCCAACCGGATCTTGTGAGAAGATTTTAGTGTCAGTCATATTCTACCACTTCACTTGTCTACGATATTGGTATTTATATTGATACTGATGGACGTTAGGTTAGTTAATCTATATTTATATTACAAGAGAGAAACTTTATTAAACGTCTAAGTTATGCAAAACATAAACGTTAGCACGAAGGCTATAAAATAATCGAAACTCACGAACAGCTTTCAGGTGATCAACACTGAACACGAACAAAAATCCGTCTTATTCCAATGTTGATTTAGTTAAACATTGAATTGTGATATCGAACTACTAAGTTATCAATAACAAACGATAATTTAGTCATATGCATAACATATTGCTGTATCTTGAACATAAATTTAAGAGTTTTACCAAGAAGGTCATTTCCGTAAACTGAACGTTACTTGCTGGTGATTGTGAACCCTACTTGTGAGTTTACGAATTTTATCTGTACCCTGACTTGTGAGTATTTTTACAGATTTATTGGAGAAAAAGTTTACGTTCATTGCGATTTTGTATCAATTATTGCCAGAAAATATAAATGATTGTAATAGAATTTTAGTATACAAGGTGGGATCTAAGGTATTTACCGAAAATTGGTTTAACTGATAATATTGTTAATCATTTGTTTAATAAAATATATATTGCTTTGTATATTTTTCTTTCGGATCACCATGGAAGAATACAACTGCATATACTGTTTAGTAAAGACTACGAATTTCAATGCCACCATTGACCACATAATTATTCGCCATCCAGACTGCAACTTGAAAATAGAAATAAATAATGATCAAATAAAAATTTCCTACTTAAAAAATTTCAACGTCACAGCCAATAATGTAAACGAAAAAAAGAAGTTTATAGCACCAATAGCTGAAACAATGACAATTAAAATTTCAAAATTTCCCGAATATTCTCCGTTTAAAAAGATGCCAAAATTGTGGACGCCTATGAAAGATATACAAGAATAAAAATCGTACATGTCAGAAATAGAAAGTCAATGAATTTCTGAGAATATAAAACAGTGTTTCAAAAAGCAGAATGAAATCAACGGTAGGTGTAAAGCTTTCAACATGTTGAAATAAGTAATCTGCAAAAAAATCTTGTAATGATATTTCGAGGTTTATTGATACGTGACGTTTTATAATACTGCACGTTTGTAACGTCGCTTTTCATTGGATAATCGTGACGTTTATATAGTTTTATATACACGGCTGTTGTCGATTCATAAAGAAATCTTCCTTTTTTCTCTAAAAAGTGATGTTTGCTGCGTTATAAAGATTGCTGAAAGGTTATATGGCCGTATATAAACGGCTATTTGCAATATAACCCTCGCCTAGCGGCTCGGGTTATATTTACAAATAGCCGTTTATATTATTAGTTATAAAGATCGTTGACAGGTTATATGGCCCTATATAAACGGCTGTTTGTAAATATAGCCCGAGCCGTTAGGCGAGGGTTATATTGCAAACAGCCGTTTATATATGGCCATATAACATGTCAGCAATCTTTATAACGAATTTATAATACTGCAAACTTCTTTTTCTTTAGAGAAACGTGAGATTTCTTCATGAATACAGAGCAGCCGTGTATATAAAACTATATAAACGTCACGATTATCCAATGAAAAGCGACGTTACAAATGTGCAGTATTATAAAGGACCATATAACATGTCAACAATCTTTATAACTAATAATATAACGGTCACGTCAAAACTAACAACAATGCCGTTGAACTAAATATAAAAAACTTATAGTACATATGTAATATTTTAGCTTTATATCTTTCCAAAGAAAAATGAATGGTAAGCGAAGATGAGGTTTGTTAGTTAATTATTCCTATCAAGAAATAATTGACTTTCTGATTCGTATAAACAGCCACTTCATGCCGGTATTTTCGTAGACAGCGAAAACATGACGAAGCTCCTCCGTTCATATGCAGTTTTAGTTAC